AGATTCTTACACAGCCAAAGAATGCCAGCAGCCGTAAGAAGTTTATGGCCAACTCTTAATTACCTATGATATTGAAAGAGAAATTTAGCATAAACTTTAAAATTTAAAAATAAATCTCCTAATTTAAGCGTTAGCCAGTGATTTATACTAGAAACCTTTTGGGAGAGCGTAGTATTTCCTTTAATGTTTTCCCAATTAATCAGTCGTTTTAGTGAGTGGCCAAATAACCCAATAAGCCTAAATGGATAATTGACCTCGGGTCAAGGCGTCTCGATATCCCACATGGCTAAGCAGTTCGAATCTCGGACCTGGCACCTTGAAAGTCATACCAGGTGTGTGTGTGTGTGTGCATGCCCAAAATCCCAGAAAGAGAATGGAGAAGAAGGGGTTGCAGCATGGCCAACCCCTCAAGGGGATGATTTCTCACCTTCCCCCTCTTTCTCTCTGTCTCTCCAGCAAGTGCACACATCCTATAGCAAAAACTAAAAGAGAGAGAGATGGGTCTGGCTCTTCTTCCTGTCTCCGTTCTTCATCTACAGAGTGTGTATATTTGCTGCACATCTGCTTTCTAGCATTGGGGAAGGATTGACTGAGTTTATGAAGGTGGAGGATCTGGGAGCTCGACCATAGTAAACACACTGTACATTCAAGCAGTTATGACCGATTTAGACTTATAGAAGGAGGAGGAGAAGCCCCTTGTGAAAGATGTGGAAGCAACAGAATAGTTTGTTCATTAAAAGACAGGCTCATACCTAAGTGAATCTTCAAAGTAATTCTGCCTTTCATTCATGGAGGAAATCACATAATCTTTTTTTTTTTTTTAAGCTTAAAAGGCTGAGCCAGCTGCACATGATATATTAAACCCACACACTTAACTTACTTTAAAAAGGTTACTATTTTCAGAGTGTGATCATTCCTGGGGAAAACACACACACACACACACACACACACACACAATTTTTGGTATGCTTCCTGTCCATAGAAAAGAGTTACATATAAAAAAATAATTTCCATTCCTTGAATTAATGTCTTCAGATTCCTGCACTCTTTTTAAGCTTTGTAATGAAACAAGGGATGGGAGAACAGTGACCTCCTCCAAGAAGGCATTCCTTAGCATTCCTCTTCACTGCCCCAGAATTGACAGTGCCTGACAAATAGCAGGCACTCAATCAATGTCTTACGAATGAATGAATGAGTGAACGTATGAGTGAATTATTTAGATGCTTAATTCTTCAAGTCAGTGTTGCTCAACCTGTAGCCATGCATCAGAATCTCCTGGAGGTTTTGTTAAAATGCATATTGTGAGGGCCAGCAGTTGGTGTGGTGGTTAAGGCACTTCATTCCCACATGACCAACTATAGTTCAAGTCCCGATCTGGCAGCTTGAAGATCATGCCAGGTGCATGTGCATGCATACCCAAAATCCCAGGAGGAGAATGAAGGAAAAGGGGTTGCAGCATGGCCATCCCTCCTCTAGGAGGTGATTTCTCACTTTCTCTTTCACTGTCTCTTTCCAGCAAGTGCACACACTCTATGACAAAAAGCTGGGGGGGACAAACAAACAAAAAAAAACACAGATTGTGGGCAGGCCCTGAGACAGTGGCACACATGCATGCATGTCTCAAATTTCAAAAGGATGGAAAATGTTGAAGAAATTGCGATGTGACCACCCGCATTAGAGGGTGTTTT